CAATTTGAAGCATGTCTTCATATTGCCTCTGCTGACCTCTCATTGGTTACCAACAAATTAGCCCAGTATCAATGATGGAGATAATCAACTTATAAAGAGTAAAGGTACATTTGGGCTCACAGCTTTGGGGGGTCCATTCCATTGCTTTGGGGCAGTAGCAAGGCAGTGCATCATGATAGGAGCATGTAGCAGGGCAAAACTGTTCACCACGGGGATCAGGCCCTTAAACACACAGACCTTTCAGAGATATTTAACATCCACACTACAGCAGAGGAAGAGCAGCTCGCCAACAGGAAGAACAAGGGAGTGAAGACACACTGAATAATCACAGAAGACTAGATACTGAGGCAATGTTTTCTTTAACTGGAAATATATTACAGTAATCAAAAGCATAGCTTTATGCAACCAGACTTCCTAGAACTCAAATGTTATATTCTGTGCCATAAACTGCATAATTGAACTATTCTCTAGAGATGTATATGGTCTTTGAGGGATGATAGCATTTCACCTCTGTATAACTATTACTATTTTACTACCTGTACTTGTATGTCATGTTTATAATTTTCTGAAACAAAAAGACTAAGAGTTGGTTTTGCCTTTTAACAGTTATATAACATTGGTCAAACATTGAAATCTTGGCATCAGTTCCTTTAAAATGTCTTCCATCAGTCAGTGCCCCTGAGTTTAGAATTGGTCAGCAGTATGTATGAGTCAGTAGACCTACAAATAACTCTGGGAGCAAAGACAGGTTATGCTTTAACCACAAAACTATAAAAGACACCTGTAGAACTGAGTCAAAGTCAATGTGGAAGTAAGGAGATGAAGTGAGTGTGACCCCTCAGCCCACCCACGACACAGAGAGTGGAGCTTATAGTGGGGGATCAGTAACTCTATAGAATGCCTAACTTTGTTTTTAAAATTTAAAAGGATGTGTGTGCATGCGTGTGTGCATGTGTGTGTGTGTGTGTGTGTGTGTGAACAGTTGTACCTGTGACCAGGCCTAGTGACTCATACCTTTCACCTTAGCATTTAATAGGCTCACCCACGACACAGAGAGTGGAGCTTATAGTAGGGAAATCAGTAACTCTATAGAATGCCTAACTTTGTTTTTAAAATTTAAAAGGATGTGTGTGCATGCGTGTGTCCGTGTGTGTGTGTGTGTGAACAGTTATACCTGTGACCAGGCCTAGTGACTCATACCTTTCATCTTAGCATTTAATAGGCTCAGACAGGAAGAGTGCTGCCATTTGTAAGCTACCCTGGGTTACAGAGCAAGAACCAAGCCAGTCATAACTATACAATGAGACCTTGTCTCAAATTTTTTAAAAACATTGCTTTTTAATTACATCTGTATATAGAAGATAGATATTAGTTTGAACTATATAAATGCTATTTTACAGAATCAAAGGACCAGTTTCATACAGTTCAGCATAGTACAAAAGCATTAGCAGTGCTGTTTGTAAGAACATAAATACCATTATCTAAAAACCAACCAACTACAAAAGAAAATTTAGGCATAGCACTGTCACAGGGGAGAATTCTATAGAACACATGTCAACACAGATAAACTTTAAAAGTAAGCAAGTCATCAGAGAACACATTCTGAATGATTGTATTTTTATAAAGTACAAAAATAGCAAACTGGGTTAGGTAGATGGCTCAGTGGGTAAAGGTGCTTGCTGTCAAGTCTGAGGACCTGGGATTGACCTCTGGGACCCACATAGTAGGAGGAGAGAACCCACTCCCGTAATTTGTCCTCTGAATGTCACACATGTTCTGTGCCGCATGCACACACGTAAGTAAATAAATGTAGCAAAAATTTTAAGGAGGCCAACTAGACTACTAAAGATATAATAGTATAGGAAGGTTTTTTGGTCCCCCTGCGCCCCCCTGCAGCAAGATCTCAGACTGTGTCCTCAGGCTAATAGGAACTCAGCATGGCCTCAAACGCAATCCTCCTGCTTCAGTCTCATAAGTACTAGCATTACATATATGAGCTGTATCGGGCCCAACTTTTTTTTTCTCTGTTCCTCTTTTATATCATCCTGTTCTTATTTTGTGAATACAACTCCCTATGTAGACTTGAACTCACAAAGATTCGCCTGCCTCTGCCTCCCAAGTGCTGGGATTAAAGACGTGTGCCACCACGCCCAGTGGAAATCACTTTTTCAAGGAAAAAAATGTTAACAAGAAATCAGGATATGTGTTGCCTCTAAAGGATGATATTTTATTTCCTAAACTGAGTAGTTGATTCATTGATATCATCTGAGTATTATTTCTTTACAAATGGCACATATTTCCCAACAATTTATTACTCAATATTTAGAAAAGCAGCAATAACAAAGAAGTTAAACAAGCTCTACTGGCAGGAATATAAATTGGTACAGTCACTTTAAAAGCAGCTGACAGTATCTAATAAAATAAGAAAGTAATGAATATAATAGTCTTTCTATGTTTAATAAAGTCCAGATTCAATTTGCTGCATAATTACTTTGCTTCTCAGGATCCTGAGAAGCCAAGTCTGATTAGAGATAGCTTTGAGTCCTCTAAAACAAGCCAGAGTCTCTGCCCACACACCCTGCCCCACCCATCCCTCCCGGTGCCCTGTGCCCTTCCACACCCTCTATCCCAACATTCAGTCTCTCCTTCCTTCAGTCCCAGCTGCTATGGGCTTTACTCCCTGAATACTCCCAAAGCATAAAACAATTGAAGTTCTAAGGTCAATAGCCAAGCAAGATTTTTATTATTTTTTCCTGCCATCAAACTCACAGTTTTCATGTCTGCCACTTACAGTGAGAATTCAGAAAATGCAGCTAAGATTGTGTACTCTCTTGTCACTGCGGCCCCCACATCCCCTAAAATTCAGGAAACATTTTGCTGTGTCAACAGCTTAGAAGGCATATTGTTCTCTGGAATGAGATCCGCCCACCCTGGTTTTGGAGATGAAGTCTTGAAATGGTTATGCTAACTGTTTAACTTTACTATGGTAATAGATATGAATGTGGCCTGGAATTCCTTGGCAAGTCAGATGTTTTCTTAGGAATGAATGTGGTCAGAATTGTAACTAACAAAGCACTCCCCAGGTCACTTTCCCTTGTGTGTTGTTCTTTGTTGTTTCTTTGGTTGGCTGTTGTGTTTTTGTTGTGTCCCATGTAGTCCAGGCTGGCCTCGAAATTGTGATCTGATCTGCCACGTGCCTGAATTACATGTGTGTGCCACCACTCCCCACTTATTTCTTGGGATTTAGAGGAGATGCCCAGTAGAAAGAATAAGATTACTAAAAGAGCTGGCTGGTATAAAAATTTGCAGTAGTTCTTTTTAAACATCTTGCAAGAACATTTCCCTTTATGTAAACAATTTCTAAAAATCGCTTTAATAATACAATTCTCCTTGGTATATTTAGAAGTTTTGACTCAGAATCTATTCTGTATCTCTGAGGTAAAGCCATTTCATGTTTACATTACACAAACAAAATCATAGTCAGGAAATGTTGAGAATAACAACGTGACCATTTTCTGACCTAAACTTGAAGGCTATTTTCTAACTTTGCATGTGGTAAAAATTTGATGATTTCAGAATGCTTTTTTTGGAGGGGGGGGGTCTTTTTTTTTTTTTTTTTGAGACAGGGTCTCCCTGTAGCCCCAGCTGTCCTGGAAGTCACTATGTAGACCAGGCTGGCCTTGAACTCACGGAGATCCTCCTGCCTCTGCCTCCCGAGTGCTGGGATTAAAGGTGTGTGCCACCACACCCAGCCCAGAATGCTTTTTGAACATACAAAGAACCACTTCTGGAGGTTTTTTTGCTAAGTCATTTGTAAACTGTCTTAATATGTTCATATATTTTCTTCAGATTTGGAGGAGGTTAAACCAGGGTTGTTGTTTTGGTTGTAGATTTTTGTGTTTGTTTCTTTGTTGTTATGCAAGGTCTCACTATGTAGACCAGGCTGGCCCTAAACTCCCAAAGATCTGCCTGCTCTGCCTCTGGAGTGCTGGGATTAAAGGCATGTACCACCATGCCCAGAAAGTTGCTGTGTTTTGTTTTTATTTTGTTTTTTGTTGAATCCCAAAGATGAACTTGATAATTTTCCTTTGTCCTTTTTTGTTTAAGATAAATTGTAGCAGGGCACTTTGCCTTTTTATAAGGAAAAAAAAAAAAAGAGCAAATAGAGTGTAAGTCACAGTGTCACTTTGCTGGTAGCTAGCTGTTCGAGTGGGAAATAGACTAGTACAAGTTTTGTTACATAGTGTAAAATGTTTCTACTTAGTATTTCAGGGCTTAGCCTAAAATTTCCAAAACATTTATGATAATGGGCTGTCCCAGTAGATTTGCACTGTTCCTTAAATCTTATCCTTTAAAAAGCCTACTGATGTTTAATTAGTTTTCTATGAAATTCTGTTTTACTTAGGAGCAGGTCAATCAGTTGACCTGAAAAAGCATCTTCTCTGGGCAAAGTAGTATGCAAAATCAAAATTTAATGTGTTTTCTGGAATACACAGTTCATACCCCCACCAAATGGGTTAGCTAACTTTCTTGTAATAGGATAATTTAGAGGCCTGTGCTGTCATCGAGGCCTTTCCACCCTAGTCACAAACCCTACTTTCCAAGAGGCATGCTGATCAGGAGTGAGGTGGATGTGGGAGACTGATAAACTGAGGCATATAAGCCGGTTCTCAGCAACCTCCCAGCTCCAGCAGGATCCTTTCCTACTGTAACCAAGACCTACATACTGCCAGATCTTTTCACTTATAGGAGGATCCCAGAATTTCATGTAAAATCTCTCATTTTTAAACAGTGACAACGAAAGAATTTTAAATCATTTTTAAGCACCTGTGCAAGTTAATTTGAAAGTGTCTGCAGGCCTGGGGACCACCCCTCAGGGACTTCCCTGCTTGCAATAGTAAAATGTTTCTTCCCACTCACATGCCTGTTTCTTGCAGAAAGGGATAAGCATTTACATAACCCCCTTCCCTTCCTAACACCTCTCTCTTCCTTTTCTCTAGGATATGTGCTGTCTTTGGTCTGTCTGAACTCCTCCCAGGCTTCCTGTGAGATCACAAACGTGTCACTGCTGCCTTACCCTGCCCTCTACACAGACCTGAATTCCAGCATAACCAACTTGAGCATCTCAGCAAATGTAGAAAACAAGTACAGTCTCTATGTGGGCCTGCTACTGGCCATAAGCTCCAGTATTTTTATCGGCTCCAGTTTCATATTGAAAAAGAAGGGACTCTTGCAACTGGCCAACAAGGGCATTACTAGAGCAGGTAAGAAACGCACACAGTGGACACATGACAGTTTCTAGCCACAGGGATAATCCCTGTGAGACCTCAGTCCTTCAGACACCATCACTGGCTGCTTCTGTCTTAGCTTCTATGCCCTTGATGGAGCCAGCTCTCTCACCCAGTGTCTGGCCTCCTACATAAAGGACACCCTGATACCTCTCCAACTTGGTCTTGTGCTACCTTCCCAGTCCTCTCCTCTTTCATTCTTGAAATAGAGCAAGTTCCTTCCACCCCAAGCTCTCTTCCCTTTGCCCAGAATTCTCTTCTCCCTGCCCTTCATCAGCTCCCTCACCATACTGACTTCGGTTTACAGTTCACCAGCCTAACAGGTCCCCGTTCACCATCCTCCATGGGCAGGTCTCTCTCAATTTCTAGCACTGAAACAATAGTTTTCTTTATTGTCTCTAAAATCAATTATAGTTGTGCATGTATTGTGAGCAGGTTTGTTTGTTTATGGATAGTAGATTCTTGAGAGCAAGAACCACATCCTCACCGTGTTCGGCACCCACCCCGTATTTGTTGAATCAATGAATGGATAGCAATAAAATGATGCCACTATTTGAAGTGACATTTCCAGTCCCTGGAGACTCCACCTGACTTCATTTGTCATGAATTTTTATTCATTTTTATGAAGTGTACTGTCATAAGAAACTTAAATATTTTTCTTAGATCAGTATGGAAAAATAAATAACTAAAAATTATGTAAATAAGTTTCTAAAGGAGTACAGAGTAAGGGAGATTCGTGACACCAAAAATATACCGTGTTTCTATCTTAATGAAAACAATTTTATGCTGGAATTAAATAATTAAGGAATGATTATTGAAAATATACAAGTGAACCAGATTACATATAACAATTTAATACAAAACTTTAAAAAGTTATATATTTCAAACCAGTGAGAAAATATTAATTATTTAATTAAAAGCACTGAGACAGGGGCTAGAGAAATGGGTCAGCAGTTAAGAGCACTGACTGCTCTTTCAGAAAACCCAAGTTCAATTCCCAGCATCCACATGACAGCAACAACCCTCCATAACTCCAGTTCCAGGGAATTCCAATGCCCTCTTCTGACCTCTGCAAGTATCACATGACTTGGGTGTACATGCAGGCAATACACTCATATACACAAAATAAAAATAAAATATTTTTAAGGTATTGAAACAATTGGGGGAAAAGTAAAGAAAAATGTAAGAGTTCTATTTTATATCATTCAACAAAACAAATTCCAGGTTATTTAAAGTTAAACAAAATATGTTTTTAATCAAGAAAAAAAGCCCTCCTAAGCATAAATCTATGCTGTGTAAAGGAAAAGATTATCTGAATTGATGGACAATAGATAACAGACGATGGTAGACAGATATCCTCTTTGAAAATACATTAGCTGAAACTAAAAGTCAAATGATACACTGGGGGAAACTAAGAAATATATGACAATATAAAGAGCAACTGCAGTCACTAAGGAAGTTCATACCCTAACAGAAAACAGGCAAAACTCATAAGGAAGAAACACAAAATGAGAGATGCGAGCATCCAGTGTTGTAATGTGATTCCCATTTAGTCATCTGCAGATTTTATAAGGAGAAAATCCTAAAGAAACATAAACTATTTAGCAAAATAATCTTTATTGGTTATATATCCTGTTTAATTATAATAAAATCATCTAGATCAAGGAGTTAATTAAAATTGAGAAAGTTCCATTGTCTATAGCTAGCACGTTGGCAGTGACCAGGGCACAGATTAGAGTCGTGGGAAGAGAACTGGGTACCTTCAGAAGAGCTTTTTGTCCTTTTCAGTATGCCACAGTGAAAGGTACGTGGAGTCCATCTGTCTGGCACTTGTCACTCTTTTATTAATTCATCCAAACTCTCAAGCTCCTGTGTCAACCGTCATGTCTTCTTCCCTTTGTGGCAGTGTAACTTATAAATTATGACTTTGTTTTAGTTTTAACTATGGCTGAAACAAAGACTTCATAGATTATAATATTTAATGTCTATACCTGTGACTGACTTGATAATTAAGTAAAATTTCATACAAGCAAAAAGAACTTTCTATAAAAGTCAAAGGTGACCAAATAGGAAGTTTTAAACGTCCTTGGGAGAGGGCTAGATCACTGCCCTCAGAGACTGTATCTGCTGACATGACCAGAGGCCTTCCCTTTGCCAGCATGTTTAGCACCTCGCGAGGAGTCAGTTCTTTCTGCCCTTCTTTCTCCAGTTTAGAACATAATTTTTGTTTGTATTTTCCCAGGACAAGGTGGACATTCATACCTCAAGGAATGGCTGTGGTGGGCAGGATTGCTGTTAAGTAAGTTCATCAGTTTAAGTACAACACATGGTAGTTATCAAAGTTAATTTCTCTTTCTTCCTGGCAAGGGTAGAATTTTGGTACGAAAATTATTGTGATAACATATTACCTTATATAATTACATATAGGTCATTCTTCATGCCTCTGTCCCCCCTAAACTCTGCCCTCAGGCAGGGAATGCAAAGGGAGAAGTCAGTGTTCTTCAAATATTGCATTGTATCACAAACGTCTCACGGTTTTCCCCTTGGCTTGAAAGTCTTTCCTCCTTCATCTTCCAAATTCCTAATTTGACTATGAGGCAATCCTGACAACATTCTCTCAGAAATGGGTACATCTTCTGTACAGGATAAACATGGCTGCTGATACAGGTATGGGCAGGGCGGGGAATGAGGTTGTCAGCATTCTTCCTCCTCCCAGACTTCCTTTTAGGTGGGAAGCACTTCTTAAATGCTAATTTGATGCTATCACAGGAGACAGATAATCCCCTCAGCCACTCTCCTTGACTTCCCTCTCCCTCTTGCCACCGGTGAACTTTCTTCAATGTCAAGTCTGAGACTTCCAAAGACAGGACATCATAAAAAGTGGTTTCACACAGCTTATAGATCAGTCAGAAGTCTTAAAGATTCCCTTGGTTTTTCCAAAACCAAGTAACCTATGTCAGATTTTTAAGAAATCCTATTATAAGAAATAATTTGGGGGCCTAGAGAGATGGCTCCACAGTTAGGAGCACTGGCTGCACTTGTAGAGGACATGGGTTCAATTCCCAGCACCTACAAGGCAGCTAACAACCATCCTAACCCCAGTTCCAGGGGATCTGACGCCCTCTTCTGACCACTAATGACATTGCACAACACAGGTGCCCTTACATATGTGCAGGCAACACATTTATACACATAGAAACAATAAAATATTTTTTAAAAAAAGAAATAATTTGGGTACCTTATCCCTGATAAATGGTGTAATCTGAAAAGGATAATGAATAAAAATAATTTACATTTTTTTGCCCTTTCCAATTTTTTACAGTGCTTTTTTTTTTTTTTTTTTTGTATCTATTTGCTGATTTCATTTGAATAAAAATTTACAGGATTGTTTCAGGAAGGTTCCAGTATATATCTGAGTGATTCTCTCATTCTCTGTGTATATCTCCTCACTCTCCACTCACATTTTAAAATGAAATAATAGGGACTAGAGAGATGGCTCAGCAGTTAAAAGAATTTGCTGCTCTTGTAGAGGATTGGGGTTTGGCTCTCAGCCCTCGCATGGTGTCTTACAACCACCCGTAACTCCGGATCCAGTGGATCCAATGCCCTCTTCTGGCTTCCACAAGTACTGCATGCACATGGTACACATACATACACTCACACAAATGAAATAAAAACAAATCTTAAAATGAAAATTAAGACGATTGTATGGCTACATTTAAAATTTCATGCTTACCAGATTTTAAAAAAAAAAGTTATGACAGTATGAAAGAGTGAAAAACAGCATTAGGGATGCTATCTGGTGATAAGTGTATGAAATTAATGTTTTCCTGGAACAATGTCTATAAAGATAAAAACTATAAACAACATAAGGTCTTCAAAGAAAGCCAAATAGTCTGAGACAGGTGCCATGACTGTTTTTATGAGAGGCGGCTCTTAATTGCTCTTTAAATTTAGATGTTTTATGATGTTCTAATGCTGAGCACTCCTGTAGTGGTAGGAGGCATGGAGCAAGGTAGACAAAGGAACAAAGAAAAATAAAAGGAGTATGCCGATGTTTTATCACTCCACTGACGTGTTTTTGTGGTTCAGTTGGACAGCATGAAATACTACATTCTCTGGGGAAGTGTCCAACTGTGCTATCTGAGAAAATCTGGCTCCCACACAAGAGCCAGTGCTTGGAGGAATTTCTCTCACTCTAGAAGTTATTTGCAACACACTACCTCATGTAAACCTAGAGTTCTTCAGATAAGAAGGATTATAGTCAGGCGTGCATGCTTGGGACTTTAAAACAGCTACTTAGATTTTCTTGAGCTACTTGGACACCACCACGTACTTGTAGATCATCTCCAATTCGAAGATGCCTCACTCCGTGGGCCTGTGATAGGATTCCTGGCTGTCCTCCAGCCAGACACCAGATCTCTAGAAAGCCTTCTCATTTTACAAGATGCTTATTGCTGTTATTACTGTGGTTAAATTGCAAAGCAGTAGCTATTCTTAGGCAAATGGAATAATTTTCTGCTTACTCCAAAGTTCTCTACTAGATTTCATCAGACTGGCCAAATGCGATTTCAGCGGGGAAGTAGCCAAAATCTCTATCGAAAGTCACTTAAAATGTACATTCGTTGGCCAGCTTTAGTTGAACTGGTATTACCAAATGATTGCAGTAGATCTGCGTCCTGTAACAACAATCCCTTGCCACCTGCCAGAAGAAGAACTTACATCATTCCAGTCAGATAGGTCTTTAAGTCTTTGCGTTAGAAGTCTATGGATCCTCTCGTCTACTCATATTTCTGCTTGCTTTCCAGTGGGAGCAGGAGAGGCTGCAAACTTTGCAGCTTATGCCTTTGCACCTGCCACCTTGGTCACCCCCCTCGGTGCTCTGAGTGTTCTTATAAGGTAGGTGAACAATAAGGAGCTTGGCTTCTGCAGGAATTTCACTACGTCCAGCACTCTTAAACTGTAAGAAACATACTGCTGAGAATATATCAGAACAAAAACTCCAGAGCAACCTGAGCTCTCAAAGCATAGAAAACCCCAAGTAATGTCTGGGTCCCCTGAGACACTTTGAACAATCCATGTAACTTTAGTTTCCTATAATATGGATATAGAAAGATTATTTTGGAGCCTGTGGAATGTGGCTCAGTAGTAGAGCACTTACATAGACAAGCCCCTGAGTTTGAGCCCTGGCAAAGAAAAAAATTACATTGTTGCCTTTTTAAAAAATCATCAAATAATTTGGAAAGGCTCCAAAAAAAAAAATGGCAGTAGAAATAGTAACTAAATTTTCATGTTATTATTACCTAGAAAAGCCATGACCAAGTGAGCTTGGCTCACCGATAACAAAGTAATTGTGTATTTGTGATGATTTGGTGAAGCCTGGTGGAATTTTGTTTTTGTTTTTTATACCTCTAAGCTGAATAAATTGCCAAAGTCCCTTAATTCTTCCTGTTGCCATAGTGGTTAATGACAACAGTTAAAAGGAAGACTTTGAAAAGCCTGGTGTTTAGGCTAAATTTCAACTCTCAGTAAAATTAATCCATTGCCTTCTGTATGCTTCTGTTGGAGACCCTTTGATTTTCCTGTGTCATGTTGTGTGGGTCGGACTTTTCTGAGTTGGTCCATGTATGACCTCAGCGAAGGTGCTCAAGTGAAGCCATGAACTCTTTTTGCACTTGGCTACTGTTTTATTGTCTATTTTTTCCATGCTTATTCCTTGTCAGTATCTAATGGAAAGCTTACGAATGGTCCCGCCCATTTCTCACTGTCTTTATGGACTTGTGAGGATTAGATGAGTTCATGCATCTAAAGCCAGTGCTCATCTCACTGGGGCTGCAGTCCCACAAATGACCACACGAGGGCAACTCTAGGAAAGCACCTGGTAATTGTTTACAAGCTGAGGTCATGGTTAATTAACACCAACTGCAGGAGTATGGTGGGGCAGGAACCCTAGTAAGTCGACTGGTGGAGCAGCAGGGTGACCTTTTCTGGGGCCATGGTAGTGCCAATCTGGAGCTCCATGAGATCAAGGCATGACAACCAAAGCTTTGGCAGCATTAGATAGCAGAAATACCAACACAGGAACAGATAGTAAGGAAGCATTTTAATGTTTTGGCAATCTGTATGGTTGTACAAGTGTGTGTCAGTTATATATCAACTCCAGAGTACTTATTATTTAGGTATGTATCTTTCGTGTGTGTTGGGGGGGGGGTGTTTAGGCCAGAGGACAATCTCAGGTGTCATCATTCTTCAGGATCCATCCACGTTTTGGTGTTGAGATAGGGTCCCTCATAAGCCTGGAACTGGATAACTAGGCTAAACTGCCTGGCCAGTGAGCACGAGAGATCCTCCTGTCTCCAGTTCCCCAGTATTGGGGTTACAAGGGCCACCACACTGGCTTTTTTACAAGGGTTCTGGTCATCAAACTCTGGTCTTCATGTTTGTGTGGCAAGCAACTTTATTGACTAAACTGTCTCCGAGTAGATATATATCCTTCTTTGAAACATTTGTGATCACTTATATTCTTAATGACTGAGCATCCCTAGTTCAAAAATTACAGAGCCAGCTGGGTGCAGTGGTTCACACCTTTAATCCCAGCACTCCAGAGGCAGAGGCAGGTGAATCTCTGTGAGATCATGGCCAGCCTGGTTTACATAATGAGTTCTAGGCCATCTGGGACTTCAGGGAAACCCTATCTCAAAAATAAAATTACAAAACCAAAATGCTCCAAAATGTGAACATTCTGAGTCTACACACAAAGCTATAAAGTGGAAAATCCCATACGTGACCTCATGTGGAAGAGTGCAATCAAAACATGAGCACATAAAAAATATCGTGTAAAATTACCCTGGGGGTAAGCCTGTAAAGTGTACATGAAGCATAAGTGAATCTTTCATTTAAGCTTGCCGGGTTCCCTCCCTCAAGAGATCTCATAATATATATGCAAATATTGAACATCTGAAAAAAAAATCTAAAATCTGAAACATGTCAGAACCCAAGCATTTCAGATAAGAGATGCTCAATTATGCCAGTGACTCAGGTAAAATATTTTTCATTTCACTTGCCATTACAGGAGATGGTGAGAGCTAATTAAGCAGGACCTCTGGAAGGTCATGGGCGATGACAAGAATACAGAACACCTGTGATAGCTCTCCAGATGTAAAAGCAGTAGGATGCTGACCATCATTTCTGAATTTAAAACTAGCATGGGGCTTTCCAGTATTACACAACATATTCCAATCAGCACCATGGGGTTCAGAGTAGCCCATGGTCCAATGTGACCTCTGAGCTGCGGTGGAATCAAAAGGCAGTTGAACTGCAGTGATTTGATTTGATTTTTCTCTCAACAGTGCAATATTGTCTTCCTATTTTTTAAATGAGCACTTGAACATTCATGGAAAAATAGGCTGTGTATTAAGTATATTGGGGTCCACCGTGATGGTTATCCATGCCCCCCAAGAAGAAGAAGTCACTTCTTTGCATGAAATGGAAATGAAATTGAGAGACCCAGGTCAGTGATTCATCTTTGAAAATAAAAACACTTAAATTATGGTCCTTTTTCTCTCTTCATCAAGTGACATATGGATGTTTGCTTACTTTTGGTTTTGGTTTGGTTTATTGAGACAGAATCTCACTATATCCAGACTGCCTTGAACTTACAGTCTCCCTTATCAGTCTCTAGTGCCAACATTACCAGCATGCCCCACCATGCCCATCATGAAATGAAATTTGTTATGACACGGTATAGGGTTCCCACAGCTTGCTGTGGGCTATAAATTAATAAGATTTATTACAAGTTTTTTGAAACAGTGACAGAATTTATTTTTGTGTTCATGTATCTCTGCTATGCAATGAAAGGACAAGGTAAGGAGAGCAGAGAAAAAGAGTTACAATCAACCCAAATTTCTGCTACTTACTGTTAAATAAAAATATAAAACACTGTATGTGCCCAGCTTCACAGTGATATTGGCAAGATTCAAATACTGTGTTCATAAAGCACTTTATGAACTCACTGAGCAACAGAATGGTGCTGTTATTTAACCTTACTTGTTTTCAAATTTGTGACTAAATAATATTTCAGAAAGAGGTGGTCCTGTTAGCATTTCCTAAGTCTAATTCTTTTCTCTTCCTAACAGGATTCATTCTCTTTGCTGTGATCATAACTGTGATTTCCTTGGTGCTGATTTTGATTGTGGCACCCAAGAAGGGACAGACTAATATATTGGTCTACATTGCAATCTGTTCTTTGATTGGAGCATTTTCCGTTTCCTCTGTCAAGGGCCTGGGAATTGCCATTAAGGAGCTCCTAGCATGGAAGCCGGTTCACAAGAATCCCCTGGTCTTCATTTTGCTTGCTGTGCTTGTGCTATCGGTAACTACACAGATTAACTACCTCAACAAAGCACTGGATACTTTCAACACGTCTCTGGTGACTCCTATTTACTATGTGTTCTTCACATCCATGGTGGTAGCCTGCTCTGCCATCTTGTTCCAGGAGTGGTATAGCATGAAAGCTGGAGATATCATCGGGACCCTGAGTGGGTTCCTCACCATCATCAATGGCATCTTCCTTCTACATGCTTTTAAAAATACTGACATCACCTGGAGTGAGCTCACATCTACTGCTAAGAAAGAAGGCCAGAACAGTTATGTTTTACTACAGAATGTAGATTGTTCAGCCTCAGGATATGATGATGACATTACCTTGTTTAGCAGGACTGATGACCAAAATCACCATAAACCTGAACTTCAACCAATATAGAACACTTGGAGAAGAGGAAAATTCTTACTGTTGGAAGGTCTCCTGGTAACACTGGTATATTTAACACTAAAGGAGTACTTTAGATGGGAAGACAAGTAAAAAAGCTTTTGCTTTGGTCACCAAATTTGAAAATCAAGTTTTGATCTTCTTGTAGAAGGCTTGTGTTTTTCTATTACATTTTTGCAACCATCAAAACATTCCCTAAGCATAGAAGAAGTTGGGAAGTTATATATGTCTCAGAAGAATCTTTCTTCCGGTCACAATAGATTTGGCACTGCCAGGTGATGCATTGTTTCTTTGGTGGCTGATCTTGGACTCAGGGTGATTCACAGATCACGTTAATTGTGTTCTAACAGCAGAATATTAGCCACTGTTCTCTGATGAGTCATAATCTCAAGTCATTAAAACTAAGAAACAAGAACACTGGTGCCTCATCCTCTCTTCTCCAACTTCCTTCTTTTTAAATTAGAAAATAAGCAACATATTAGTGAATGCCCCTGCTTTGGGAATCAACTCTTTAGTGGATTAGGATATAGAAAGCTTATTAATTTTAATTTATTCACATTATTACCAACTAAAGAGGGAGGATAGAAGGAGGAAGAAAACATTTTAGTCTTCAGGTAAAGAAAATACATTTTTTTTCTCTTCCCCAGAATAGAACACACCACAAATGATTATGTCACAGATTCTGTTAACAATGACCTGGATAACATAAAAAAATAATATTTTTTCTGAAGGAGTCAAATTCAGCTTTAGAGTTGCTTATAATATTCATTTTGTACCATTTTTTGGAGGTTGGGGTTTTGTAAGGTTTTGTTTGTATGTTTGTTTGTTTGTTTGTTTTGAGACAAGCTCTTACTATATAACCCATCCTGTCCTCAAGCTCATGACAGCCCTGCCTCAGCCTCCTGAGTGCTGAGGTTACAGGCATGCACCACCATGCCCAGCTTCCTTTAAAACAATTATTATTCCATAGATTTCTTCGTTGACACAGAGGTTTTAGTAAAGCAATCACTGCACTATGTGAGGTTTATTTTCTGCTCCAGTTTTCCTCAAATGTCTTAGCCCTTAAAGGTAAGTTTTCTCATACTGAAAACAACTAACAAAATCTTTGTGAAAAGCTTGAACAAATTATCTTAATGGTTCTTTCAAAATTTGGCACTTCCACTCTTAGTAAAGAAATCACAGTCAGTTTCAAAATGGCCACAGCCTCCTGTTTTTCTTAGTGGCAGGTTGCATTCTTTTCTGTAGAATTCATCTTGCCTGTGTTTCGCATTCAGTTCATGGGGCAGTGTTTAGGGAGAGTGAAATTCCTGGAAAACAAAATTTAAGACCTGAGAACTGGCACTGGAGAGATGGCTCGCACTGGTTGCTCTTGCAGAGGACCAAGTTTGCTGCCCAGCACACACGGCAGCTAAAACTATCCAGATCTCCAATTCCAGGGGATCCAACAACCTTTTCTGACCTCTTCAGGCATCACACAACACAGGTACACTTACATACATGAAGGTAAAACACTCATACACTTAAGCTAAAAATAAATAATTTTAAAGACCCAGAGCTCCTACAGAAAGTGTCTTTTGCTCACTAAAACCTGCATGCAATTTTTCTAACTCATTCCAGATTCATGGCAGGAATAAATTTTTGATGATCTTTAATATTTATGGACAGATTTTCTGTCACTGATTTATAGAGAAGAAACTGCTATTTTATTTCTAGATTAAACATATTTCTCTCAAAACAAATTGAGTATCCTAACCAAAAAGTTTCATTTTAAAAGAAACTTTTAGGGTTGGTTGGATTTTGTTGCTATAGTTGTAACATCAAGTATTATTAGGTTTTGTTGTTGTTGTTGTTTTACACTTCCCAGGGTAGAAGTAGTAAGCTCTGCTATTCAGTATTCTAGTAAAATGACTTTAACGTTTCTGGTCCTACTGAGCTACGACTGACTTTCTAAGAGGTGACTGCACGATCAAAGAGAGCCCTTCAGCAGGGGTTACTATTGAGTGCAATTTACTGCATTCTAAGTTTGTGAAAAGCGATAATCCATGGAAGTTCCATGAGCTGATACCTCAAGTCAAACACATGTTCACTGTTCATTACTGATTCACTTTGTATTCAGATCTATACACTCTGAACACAAGTTTGTAGGAAAACTATCTTCTGAAAAGGTAGTGTTTGAAAACTGTACAAATTCTTTTAGCTTTTTTTTTTTTTTTTTTAACATTGAGAACTATACCAGTCCCTCCAGAATATCCTCCTGGTGAGAACATCTATCATTTCTCTTGACATCTTTCCTTAGGCTGTGGTGATTCTCCACTCTAGTGATTTTAAATTTTAGACATTTATTAAATGTCACTTGTTACTTGACACCTTAACTGTCAAGTTTTGCCATTGGTACATTGTGCACAGGTCAAAAGTTCCTAGAACACAAGAATCAATATGTTCTGGGTTGGAAAATGAGCTAGTGTTGACATATATGCCCAGGAGAAAGACCAAGAGATTTCATGAGTTGTAATATGTGGAGAAGCAATGGACTGTTGACAAAGCTCTCTGGAAATGTCATTGATGAGCGTATACACTAAAAGATTAATATGCTACTACAAATCTAAGACCAAAAACTAGTATTTCTCACATAGGAAGATACTGCTTAAGGAAGAATAAACTGCTGGGTCCCTCTGTTCACTAAATTACTTGTGTCATATACATATGCATTTTAATGTATATATTTTTGTCATCATGTGGATATCTGAAGATTCTTTTGTCAGTATCAGCACGTGCCATTAAGGATTACAAAGTTGTACTAGGGGAGAACAAATTGAAAGCTTTTGCTAATTCTGTAAAGTTAACAGTTTTGGTTTTTGATTTATAATTTCACTGTTGGATCACCAGTTAATGATTTTAGTTTATAGTATAAGATGTTCATAAAAAGCCATTAGATTTAACAACATCAGATTAACTTAACACTTATCTTATTTCTAAAAATCTGAAGTGAAATACATGGAGAGAGCCTTGGATTAGGCATCTGTAAATAACAGGCACCTCATAAAAATTAGTTCTCTTTGAATAAACACTCTAATCCTCACATTGTTATTACTAAAGCAATAAGGACCACTGAGCGCTAGTCTTCACAAATGCTTTGTTTTTTCTCAATTTCTGTCACACTGCTCATTTTAAACAATACAAGTGAAAGTGAATTCCATCATTATACCAGATCAATCATGGTACAAAATTATTCCAGCAAAAATATTTTTCTAACAGGCTGACAGAGCAGCTTAGTGGCAGAGTGCTTCAAGAGCACGCATAAGGCATTGGGTTTGATCCTGAGCTTGGAAAAAAAGCCTTAATAAAACCAGTGAAATGGAATTAAATGTTATTTTTACCTTCCAGAGCTTTATGAAAAAGTAACCTATAAATGTATGAAATGTTCTCAAATATTTTGAATAAATTATGTTCATGAGATTTTATATTTTTCAAATGCTTACAAATACTGTTCATTTTAGAAAGTTTATGAATTTTAAATATTTCTGTACATTGTGCATTTTCAATAAAATAATGTGATTTCATTATGCTTTCTGGAGTTTATGAACATAAAGTATACGTAATGGCAAGAACCGTCCCCATTTTGTTTTGATATTTAAAAGAAAGTTCTGGGAGTCAGGGGAAAAGCTTCATGGAAGCTAATTTTACCTTTTCTTTTTCTTTAAAATTGAAATTTGTTTTGAGAAGGCTCTGCACAAAACCATCTGCCGTAGAGCCAACTTGGCACCTGAACAAAATAAACTGTCTTATTCTCCAACAATTTTATTAAACAAGATAGAAGTTCAAAGCAGTTAGTATAACTAAATCTCCTTCTGCTCAGGGACTTAAAAAGAAAAGAAAAGAAAAAAGAGAAAGCTGTCTGTTGGTATCTGTGAGGGGATTGGCTCTAGGACCCCTGTGGAAGCCAGAACCCTATACAAAATGACATGTATTTGCATCCACCAACCTGCACACATCCCCCTGTATATGTTAATCATCTCTAGAGGGCTTGATATCTAAGGCAGCATACCTGTCATGGATTCAAACTTGTGCTTGAGAACAACTCCCTCAGTTGTTTCTAATTCAAAAGAATGTCTTGTCTAGGGTACAAAACAAAAGCTGTTGCCTGTGTCCCACACCCTTTCTTTCCTCTAGTTTATAAATGAAGGACATAATGTGCTGTACCTTAAATTACACTATTAGGGCCTGAATGAGGCCCAATGTGCAAGCTTCTCAACACCCCAAGTACTCAGTACACAGAATGGAAATACCCAAGAGTGGTGGTGGAGTCCGCTGCTTACTGAAGCAGTATGTCTACATCCAAGCTACACAGCCGGAGTCGGCTGTAGGTGTGTATACAAAACACGGCAACACGTTGACTTCAGCTTAAAGGAAGCCATTAAGAGCTGTGCTTACAGGGCTGGAGAGACAGCTTAGTTGGTAGAGTGCTTGGGCATGAGGGCCAGTTTGGATCTCCAGCATCCATGTAAAAAGTAGGCCAAGTGATGTACCTGTAATCCCATCACTGAGGAAGCAGAGACTGGAAGATTCTTGGGGCTAGCTGGCTAGAGTAGTCAAATCAGTGGGCTCAGGTTCAGTGAGAGACTGTCTCAAAACATAACGTAGAAAGTGATAGAGGAAAACATGTGACATCAACCTCTCGCCTACAGAGAGAGAGAGAGAGAGAGAGAGAGAGAGAGAGAGAGAGAAGGTACACTTAGGTTCTGAAGATTCTCAAATTTTGCTGTGACAAATGAACCACATGTTTTTCCCATTTAAAAACTTGAGCTGAGAAAAAGAAAAAAAGACTTCTTGAGAGAGCTGGCCACCTGAGCCGTCTTTTCCCCTATAATTACAAGTCATGAAAAATCTTTTTTCTTAAGTGAAAAGAAGAATCTCTACTTGAACATGATTAGTGAAGGAGAAAATTTTGAACCAGCAGCGTGTTTGCTTTTGTACTTAGAAGCTCCTTGGCAGTGGAGGTGTGGTGGGAGATCCCCAGAGCTCTGTCCACAAAACCCTTCCCAGGAGCTACTGCACCATCTGCCCAGGACCCTGGGTTCCCATCAGCCTCAGGTACACATTCAGGGCTCAGAAGACTACATCTCATGCCAGCTTTATCCACCAGGACAAACATGAGGCCATAGAAAGACCTGCTTCTCACCCAGCTGCTTGTAGGCCCTACCTGCTACTGGACTGGAGGAGGCAGGCAGAAGCAGCAGTGGAGGTAAAGAAGCCATATTCTAAAGCCGGGCAGGGAGGCACACGCCTTTAACCCCAGCACTCGGGAGGCAGAGGCAGGTGGATCTTTGTAAGTTCAAGACCAGGAGGAGGAGGAGGGGGAGGGGGAGGGGGGGAGGAGAAGAATCAGCCGTATTCTGACTGCTGTGTTCCCAGAATTCCCTGCCACATGTTGCTTCCTGAGATCCAGTGATCCAGTCTGTTACGGCTGATTGCCAGAGTCCTACCTTCATTTCTGTTGTTGTGATAAAATACCCTGGCACAAAACAGCCTTGGGGAGAAAGGATTTAACTCCCAATTCCAGATTACAATAGATCATAGCTGGGACGTTAAGGCAGCAGGAACTTACTAACAGCCAGCCCGTCACATCATACCCATAGTCAAGGGCAGAGAGGAATGAATACAGTGGACCCTCCCTAGCCACAAAGCTCAGAGACTGCTTCCAGAATGCCTTTCCAAGGGGTTCACCTACCATAGAAACCAAACACAGGACCCCAGCCAATTAGTCTATAAAGACCACCTCCAGAATATTCCCTGAGCTTCTCCCTGTGCTAATGGTTCCTCCCTAGCATCCAGAAAGTAAGGTCAACAATGAAGCACAACTTAACAATAAAACAAATGGCTTCCACAGACAGGAATGGGCAGAGTAGCCTCCAGTTGGCAAGGGCTCTGTGTCTCTCAGCTAGCTTTACCCATGTTTTCACTATGAACATTTCATCCTATTCCTAAAACAGGTTTAAATGAAATGATAGTTTAATAAAAGAGCTTTCTCAGGCTGGAGAGATAGTTCACTGGTTAAGTGTATGTACTGCTCTATCAGAAGACCCAAGTTGGATTCCTAGTACCCATATCAGGCAGCTCACAACTGTCTGTAACTCCAGCCCCAGGGAATCCAATGCCCTCTTCTGGTCTCCATGGGTGCCTAGACACATATGTACATACACATACAAAGACATACACACATACACATAAATAAAAATATTGATCTTTTTTTAAAAAGAAACTTCTTATCCCTTAATGATAGAACTGTAATGGTGAGTTACAATGAGCAAGACTTGGAAGAAACAGACAAAATAAATTCTTCTGAGCACAATGCAAAAGGACTTTATTCTACCATGGTTACCTAGCTTGAACTGAATTCCTAGAGTAATCTTGCAACACACACCAAAAGAGAGGACAAAGCTTCCTTGTGTTTTGGGAGTCTGCTTCTCAGGATCATATGATGTAAGTATAAATAACACAGCAATTCATATCTTCAGCAAGTCTGGAGGCAGACACTCAGCAAAGAGAGGTCACTGTACAGAGATTCCCTAGACCAAAGATAAGGCAAACAGCAGTTACATGATGATGCTGTCTCACTGGGAGACCAAACCAGTCCCAGGAGTAGATAGGACTCAAGTTCAATACAAGTCATTATACACAAGAGTTCCACTTACAGGGTAGCACCTACTGATTGAAGATTAGCCTGCACCAAAATAGGAAAAATAATGAACATGGAGGAACTGGTCTAGCAAGATCATGCACTGTAATATTCATTTTGTGGTGCAGTGGGGAGTTGCTGGGACTGGAAGTGCAGATACCCACAATACGGACACATGATCTTCTTTCAGTGTCGGAGAAATTCCCAGTCCAGCAGAGTGAAGTTAGCCCCTTCCCTCCAACACGTCTGTGTGGCTACTGTCTCCAAAAAGGGGCAATTCAAATAATTCAAAAGGGGTAACTAAGAAGAAGCATGTATAATCTTGTTAGCAAAAAGAAAACAAAATTAGATTGACTTTATTCAAAAATAAACCCATTTGATTTTCGTTTCTCACCTCAAATAGCAGGCTCCATAAAATAACAAGTCCTGGGGCTTGAGAGATGGCTCAGCAGTTAAGAGTACTGGCTGCTCTTGCAGAAGACTCGGGTTTGGTCCCAGCACCCACATGGCAGCTAACAACCATCTGCAGCTTCAGTTCCTCTGTGGGCACTGCACAAATGGGTGCACTTACATACCTGCGGACAATACACTCATACACATAAAATTAAAATATTTTTAAAATAACAAATCCTCTTTAAAAACTATTTGGACTTCTGGCTCTTTCCTGGGGCTTCAGGGAAGTCTCATGGAGGCTCCTGTTATTTCAGAGACTACAAGCTCCTGCCTTGGTTTCTGGCTCTTGGTAATCAGCATTGTATTTCCTGTGCCCTTCTTAGCTTTGATCCCATTACTATTCTGGTTGCTGATACCTGCATTAACCCTTGTCCATCAATGAAATAGCAAGCTATTTAGCTCAGGCACATGATGACATAACCTACGATAACCTATTCAAATGTCAGTCACTAGGCACTGATGAAATGAATGCCTTTCTCCTTTTGTTCTGCCTTGTAATAGATCTCACAAGAAAAAGCCTCAGTGCAGAGTAAGCATATGCGTGTTCACAAAGTGTTTTATCTACTGCAGTGGTTTTGGGACCTTGTAGCGCATAACGTTTACCTGAAGAGGTATGGATTTTATTTTTGTTTTTCATGTCCGGGCACCACCCCAAATTAATTAAATAGAACATCTAAGGAGAGAATTGAAGCAATAATATTTGTTAAAATCTTCCCAGATGATAAATATGCAGCTAGGGTTAAAAACCAAAGATATAATCTAAGACTTCACCTATTTCAAATCGCATCCCATTATCAGAGATTTTTTTTTGGCATTTCCAACATAATTTTATTTTTTTTAAGATGAAATATTTAAAAGACCCAGAAAATCACTTTAAAATTTTCATTTTAAATTATCAGATGGCCTACTATTTTGATAGCAATTTAGGAGAGTTAAGACAGCAAAGGAAGAAAGATAGAAACATATTTTTCCCCTCTGAGAAAGCCTTGCTTAGAGACCTGAAAATACCAAACACAATGTTAAAAAATTAAAATGTCAACCTTACATTAATTTTCTACTGTGAATACATTTGTTGTACTTTTCATAATTTTGAAATAACAAATCCATCACTTGTAGCCCCATCACCCTGCTGCCCTGACAATACAGTGCTCAGTTTCCTTAAAAATAGTAGTAACTCTACATTTCATAGACCATATTGAGATTATACTTACCAACATTTTCCTTTTCGTTAGAAAACAACTTAATTATCTCTTTACTGAAATGCTTGGGAAGGAAATGTTTTGTATTTTAGATGTTCTTGTCATATTTTAGAATATCTGTATGTACATAATAATAAGTACTGGAAATACAACCTACTTCATCAAAATTCTTTTTTTTTTTGGGTTT